ATATCTATACTGCACGCTAATTCGCTCTGTACTAGAGTACGCCTCCGCTACCTTTGCTGACTTGCCTAAGTATCTTGCTTGCTATCTTGAGAACGTGCAAAAAGGGCCCTTTCCATCATTTGGCCCGGTATTTCGTACGACGCAGCATTTGACAAAGCTGCATTATCCACTGTTTCTGACCGTCGGGCAGTCTCGTGTATTGAATTTATAGGTAAGGTTCGGTCAGGTAACCCATTATTTGCATACAGAGCGTGATCGAGGAAGAGAAAAGGACCCTCTAATACACAACAGAGTGGTACTTATATCTACCAGTCTGTGTCTAAGTTCAGGGAGTTCTAGCAGGCCCATGGCCACAAGGACTAAACGTTTCTCAAATTTTGTTAGTGTCAAATATCAATCTTGTCAATAAGTAGCGTATTAGTATATATATCACAGCTTGTAAGGTACCCTACAATTCAGTCTTCTGACTGCCAAAGGGACAGTAAACCAGTGATTTGAGAGAGATTTGTATCTACAATCCCGGACAAAACTACTTGAGAAAGTTTTCCCCATCATGTCCACTTTCCTACGCAACAAAATTATTTTCAAAACGACGCCTTTGCGGAAAGAAAACCCCTTCCCCCAATTCAATGTTGCTTGCCACAAACGCCCAGGGACCAGGCTTTCTTTTGAATACACAACAACATTGCTTTCAGGGGAAGGGGGAGAGGGAAGAACCGGTACAGCTACGATGTTTAGAAAAATGCTGTCCAAGTATACAATTTTCTGAACAGTTTTGTCCAAGATTGTAACTCCTTTTTCCCATACCTCAAGAGATGGCAATTTTATGTTATTTCTGAGACCTCGCTCCAGTTGTAATCGGCATGCAAATAGCTTCTTCCCATAGTCTTTTAAGGTGACTCGACCCAGTTATTTTGTGAGGGTACCATCCTACTTTGAGGCTCTCTGGTATCCCCACCTTTACTTTGATCGTAAGTCTAACATATAGCATAGATAACATATAGATCAATCTACAATGTAGCATAAAATTTTTGGCGATCGGAATAAATGTCACGTGGTTATAGTGCCACGCCTCTTTGGGGTCTGAGTCGAAATTCTGTTGTTGCCGGCATTTTTTCGTGAAAATCTCTCGGCCACATATATTGCGTAGAGAGAAAGCCTTGAACTAAGGCAGCCGTCGCTTCCCGTCAAAAATAGAACATTAAGATCGCAGTGAACTCAGAAGGACGGCGCCCTTAATTAGAAGAATACCGAAGAGGAAAATATGGCTTCACATAAAGAATTACGAGAATAAATATTTGCTATGCAGACAACATGTATCGGATGAAGAGTTTCTCGTTTTGTCGGAAAATTATGAGTCCAAAAATCCCGATTTTCCTCGGGACAGTTACGATCCGTTCACGCTAAAAAAAAGGCGGGATGCAGCTGAGTTCAAGGCAGAATTTCGTGTTGAAAAAAAAATGATCTCCACAGGCTTGCCGAAGCCTTGCAAATTACAGGAGCATTAAAATGCTACCAAGGAACCGTATTCTTAGTTTGGTATTGAAATAATTCCCGGGAAATACTTGCATGCAACAACAACAACAACGGCAACAACTTTATTTCAGTATTTCCACGCCGAGTTAGTACATGGTATTGCCTACTATTCTATATAATTTTCAATGCGTTTCATTTATACGATATTCTAACGAAAAGAGCGAACTAAAAACACACAATTGAAATATCGGAGTTCATATTTTTTGTCTGGATACTTTTATTTGGCTCGTAGGAAAATTTTGTCCATGTCAAGCTCACTTACGGTTGGCTGTTTGCCAAGTTGGATCTTGACCCTGTGACATGAGAACATAGAAGCATTCAAAGATGTAAGGTTAGATAACGGAGCTTGGAAATCGAGCTTGAAAAGTGCCTTAAAACGAGAAACAAGAAAGAAAACAAGGACAATTTAAGAACGATAATCTGCAAAATGTTGGTTGCTAAACGCAACAAACCTGATTGAAATGAAAGTTAAATACTCACGTTTTCGCCACAACGCCAAACAGACCAGTTTCACGTCGCCGACGGGACCACGACGGCAAGGTGGTGAGCACGAGCATGCGCAATATCCAACAAATGATGATGTCAGTAGTATAGGAGGGACCGGTTACTCCGGTTTTTTGCGGAGGATTCTCATTAGAGTGCGGAGGAATACATTAACGTCCCTGACGTCATTGGTTATTGTATTGATCTCATGAATAAAATGCGGTGGATTCTCATTAACTTGGGCAGGAATAAATTAACGCCAATGACGTCATAGGCTATTGTCTTGATCTCATGAATAAAATGCGCAGGGATGCCATTAAGATAAGGTCATGTGCTATTTTTAGTTGGTTTAGGATTTCTAGTTACTTTAAGGTCGATAAACGTCTTCGTTTTCGATTGGTTAGTTAGAAAAAAAGAAACGTTTTTATTGGTTAATTCATACTGTCTGAGGAGTAAAGTCTTGTCTGTGACTTAAAATCACTGAGACGTAACGTAATTATGCACTTCCTATTTCCTGCTGCTGTGATTGTCCTTGTTCCGGTTCACTGATTTTTGGCGGGCAAATCGTGTATATTAAAGAGGGCAAAGGCAAACTAGCTCTTTTTTACACTGCAAGCAATGCTTTACTTACCCCTCTCCTTTTTATTTTTTATTTTCCTCCTCCTCCAGAATTTTATCACCACCACCACCACCGCCAACACATTTCTATTGTTTTCCCTCCACCACCACCACCACCACCGCCACATTTCCATTGTTTTCCCTCCACCACCACCACCACCACCCTCCTCCTCCTCCTCCTCATTTTTATTGTTTTCCCTCCTCCTCCTCCTCCCCCTCCTCCTCATTTCTATTGTTTTTCCTCGAAAGGCCAAATAGGCCAAAATCAGGCCTAAAAGGCCTAGAAGGCCAAACGTGGAGGAAAAACAATAGAAATGAGGAGGAGGGGGAGGAGGAGGAGGAGGGAAAAGAATAGAAATGTTACGGTGGTGGTGGTGGAGGGGAAACAATAGAAATGTGGCGGTGGTGGTGGAGAGAAAGCAATAAAAATGTGGAGGAGGAGGAGGAGGGAAAACAATGACGATTCTACATCGACCCTACATCGACCCTACATCGACCCCACATCGACCCTACATCGACCCTACATCGACCCCACATCGACCCCACATCGACCCTACATCGACCCTACATCGACCCCACATCGACCCTACATCGACCCTACATCGACCCCACATCGACCCTACATCGACCCTACATCGACCCCACATCGACCCCACATGGACCCTACATAGACCCTACATCGACCCCACATCGACCCTATCAAAACAATAAAAATGAGGAGGAGGAGGAGGGAAAACAATAAAAATGAGGAGGAGGAGGAGGGTGGTGGTGGTGGTGGAGGGAAAACAATGGAAATGTGGCGGTGGTGGTGGTGGTGGTGGAGGGAAAACAATAGAAATGTGTTGGCGGTGGTGGTGGTGGTGATAAAATTGTGGAGGAGGAGGAAAATAAAAAATAAAAAGGAGAGGGGTAAGTAAAGCATTGCTTGCAGTGTAAAAAAGAGCTAGTTTGCCTTTGCCCTCTTTAATATACACGATTTGCCCGCCAAAAATCAGTGAACCGTAACAAGGACAATCACAGCAGCAGGAAATAGGAAGTGCATAATTACGTTACGTCTCAGTGATTTTAAGTCACAGACAAGACTTTACTCCTCAGACAGTATGAATTAACCAATAAAAGCGTTTCTTATTTTCTAACTAACCAATCGAAAACGAAGACGTTTGTCGACCTTAAAGTAACTAGAAATCCTAAACCAACTAAAAATAGCACATGACCTTATCTTAATGGCATCCCTGCGCATTTTATTCATGAGATCAAGACAATAGCCTATGACGTCATTGGCGTTAATTTATTCCTGCCCAAGTTAATGAGAATCCACCGCATTTTATTCATGAGATCAATACAATAGCCTATGACGTCAGCGACGGTAATGTATCCCCCCCCACCTTAATGAGATTCCCCCCCAAAAAAACGGCCTAACCGGTCCCTCCTATACTACTGATGTCACGTCCGGTTGAAGTTGCCGTCGCCCCGAAAACGTCTCTATCTTAAGTTCCCTAATGAGGCCTATCGACAAGGCAGCGGCAGACAGTCTTTCTGTACAGTCCTTCGCTATCATTAAAAACACTGGACACGGGAATATCGTTATAGGCCGTTCTCAAACTAGAGCTAGAAATGGACTATTCGTTTGAGACTAGCTGGTGCACAGTCGCTCCCTCCCCCACAGACACCCCTTCTCCGATTTTTTTCTGAGGGGAGGGGGCGGCTGTACACAGGCTATCTGAAACGGATAATCCATCTTCAAACTGTCCGTCAAAATTGACGAATAAAGTCAGGCGGATTGTTCATTCAAAATTAAAACCCTTTCCATTTCAAATTAAGAGGTATTACGTACGTATCTGACGCGAATTGTCAAACAGATAACCCGTCTCACACGAATAATCCGTCTCTTGTGTGAAAACGGTCATTTCTGTTATAAATGAATGTCCCCCCCCCCCCTCTGCTTTGAGTTGGGCGTTCGCGTGTTTGCTTTTGCTTTTTCACAAAGATTATTTTGAAACTGAGTATTGACATTTCTATGCGTAAAAAAAAGGATAACTTCATTTTATCCCGAGATGATCCTAAGACCTTTATTTTGCTTAGAAGATACAAAAAATACAGGTTTATTAATATTTAATTCTTTGAAACAATAGAGATTAATTTTTAACTTTTTTGTTAACCGTAACTGAAAAAAATTAACCGATAGCCGTAAAAGAGCCAAAATTTTAGCCGATAATCGTAAAAGCCACCACCCCATTGAGACCCTCAAGAATTATGGAGATCGAGGCGGGCGTTATCCACCGAGTCGTTTAGTGTAACCTTTCTGATCCATTATCTTGATCTATATTCTGCTGTAACAATGCATGATTGTCTCATTATAGGTCAGTCTTAAAAAAGTCTCTAGAACAACTTTTTTGCAAGTGGATAAACAATCTGGATTTAATATGCTCCAGGCTGCTGTCGTTGAGGGAAAATACAACATTGTTCTAGAAGCTAGTGGCCTTTTAGACAACTTTGTAAAAGAGATGGAACGTACAAAAACGGGAAAAAACGCCAAACTATTTCCTGGGAAATCTGCAGTTGACATCTTGTCCTTTAGAAATAAACTACCAATGAACTATGATATCGAAAGGATTTATGAAAGGTTGGCTGAGGAAAACAGTAGTCTGACTAAGTCGCAGTGGGCTACATGCAGTGATGATGAGGAACAAGCTGTTGAGCTTGTATTAAATGACGGTGTAGATATTAATGCCCGAGTGTCAGAAAATGATTACACAAGTTTGCTGCAGGCGAGTCGTTCATCCTCAAGTCATTTCATTGAGACCCTCATTGATCTTGGGGCCGAAGTTAACGTTCGAAGTAAAGAGAGAAGAGAAACCCCTCTCATACTAGCAGCTGATTGCAACAACTACATGGTAGCTAGCTTGCTTTTGAGACATGGGGCTGGTGTAAACGTTCAGGACAGTTCTGGTTCCACACCTTTGCATTTGTCAGTCAAAAAGAATCGCAAAAGTCTGGTCAGATTATTACTTGCATACAATGCGAATGTAAATATCGAAGATAATAGTGGATATACAATACTGCATCAGTCAGTCATACAGGGTGACAAAAACCTCGTGAGATTATTCCTTAAACATCACGCGGATGTGAATATTCAAAACAAACGTGGAGAAACACCTCTGCTCTTGTCAGTCAAATTGGAGCACGAAAACCTCGTCAGGTTGTTAGTTCAACACAACGCAGATGTAAATATTCCAGATAACGATGGGTATAAAGTGTTGCAAAGGTATGTCATGGGGGGTGACGAAAATCTCATTAGATTTTTAATTGAACACAACGCGGATGTAAATATTCAAAATGAGGATGGATATACACTACTGCATCGGTCGGTCCTTAAGAACGATGAAAACCGCTGTAGATGGTTACTTAAACACAACGCGGATGCAAATATTCAAAACAAACGTGGAGAAACACCTCTGCTCTTGTCAGTCCAATTGGGGCACGAAAACCTCGTCAGGTTGTTAGTTCAACACAACGCAGATGTAAATATTCCAGATAACGATGGGTATAAAGTGTTGCAAAGGTATGTCATGGGGGGTGACGAAAATCTCATTAGATTTTCAATTGAACACAACGCGGATATAAATGTTCAAAATAAGGATGGATATACACTACTGCATCGGTCGGTCTTTAAGAACGATGAAAACCGCTGTAGATGGTTACTTAAACACAACGCGGATGCAAATGTTCAGGATAATAATGGATATACACCCGTACACCGGGCAGTCATGAATGGTGCCGTAAACCTCATTGAATTGTTACTTGAATACAAAGCGGATGTAAATATTCAACATAAATATGGATTCACACCATTGCACCTGTCAGCTCGTTTCAGCCACAAAGATTGCAATGAGATTATCGATCTCCTGCTGCAGTATGGAGTGCAAAATATAGACATCCGCGCCGTAGAAGGCAAAACTCCTCTTCAAATGGCAGTGAGATGTGGTAACGCGCAAGCTGTCAAAAAGCTTGCTGACCTGGGAGCTGATGTTAGTCTGGTTAAAGCCGATAAAAAGGATGCCGTTGAACTGGAACGCTTGTATTATGAAGCGGAGAGTGTGGAGTGAAAAAAAAAAGAAAGCACTGAGAGGTTGCAATAGGTATGACTATCGTTTCAGGTACAGAAATTCTCACAGAGTCTCATCTCAAATTGGAGAAAAAAATCTAACGAATAGAAGAAATAGAAGACGAACCAGGAATTAAGAAATGAAAAACGCCTGCGGTGAACCAGCCTGAAGCAAAGGCGGCGTCTTACCATCAGGAGTTGGACATAGAGATAAAAGCAGGGATCAGTGTTCCACGTGTAGAAATCTACAAAATACTTAGCAAAGAGATCTACATAGACTAGCCTGCTTCATGCGTTCAGATAGTAAAGCGCGGGCGAAAATTTGACGAGGAAAAGAAAACGATGGGAGTCGAAAGGGAAAAGGGAACGGAACCCTCGCTCTCGCCCCAGTCTCCTCTCGTTTTCCCTTGCGTACGATTTAACTCTCTTCCCCACTATCTAAACTCCGCGCTCTATTGTCTGAACGCATGGAACAAGCTAAAAGGTAAGTGAGAGAGAGAGAGAGAGAGCGCGTTCTGAACTTAGTCGTTCGTGCGTAATACATTCAGCTGCCCAGTCAATAGCCCACTTACCTTCAGAAGTGTTTTCTCGCCAGTGACGATTGAGTGCGGCAAAGGTGTCTTCGGGTCAGGTCGACAAGTACCCAGGGTCTAGCCCATCTTCAATAAATTAACTACATCTACATCTACATATTACTAAGTGGATAAAATCTTCGTTAAATTTCACACCAACTATTATAAAAGTAGAGTGCATAATAAGTGATAAAATGGGTTGGTATGTACATGTATGAAATTTATCAAAATGAGATATATAAGATTTAATGCTGAAGGGAGATAAGGACTCGATTGGGCTACATATCGCGGTGATATCCTATGTGAGGTGATTACTTATTCAGGTAGAATTAGAATTTATAAAAATCAACATTACAGCAAGTCCTGGACGACACAAACAAAGTAACCCAATGGTTTTTTGTTAGTAAGATTCATTTCTTATAGTTTTAATCTGTAAATACTCCTATGATTTTCACCTACCCGTAAATTGTTTTGTTTATTCTTTTTACTGTATTTAGTAATGGGCACGACCCAAAGGCGAAGCATCGGTTTAACTTTTTATTGTATACGAAAAAAATTTTTTACGCCATAGCTTTTCAGTGAGTATATCTCAGTATGTATATAATAATAAAGATTTTTGCATCGTATTTTCTGGAATTGTTGTTCTGAGTTGACGTTTCCATTTCTTCGCAGAGCTCATTTGACAAAATCGTTATTTCTTTCTTTTGGTCGACGCCTATAAGACGATGGAATGAAAACTGACTCCATGAGGCTCGATCTCTCGTCTCTCCAGCGTAGTATCCCTCAGCAATGTGTTTATGTAGGCAGTTGTTGGACTCCCTCTTGCAGCCCTTCCGTGTGTTAGCATCCACGTTATCAGCTGGAGAGCTCCCATTACGCAAAACATGTCCAGATAGAGAGTCCCCAATAGGGTTCTATTATCCCGTCTTTCCGACCCTAATTTTTACTCCATCCCGTAATCCCAATTGTTATTTTTGGCATCCTGCATCTCCTACATACTCTTAAGCCCGAATCCCGACCTTCAAACAAGGAAAATTCCGGATCCCGAAAAAACAATTAGGGACCTTCAAACATGGACAAAAGTCTTGGGACACTTTTGCATTTCTGGGGCGTTTTTCAATTCACACAGGTCCAACCCCTCCCCTCACCCAACAAACAATTTTGGACGCGTGTATCCAGAATTATTTCCGAGTTTCAACTTTGTATAGGGAGGGGGAGGAAAAACTGCAAGAAAATGTCGAAAAGGATGCACTGTTTTAAGAGGAAACCGAGAAATGAGAGAAAAATATGAATATTGCAGTACTGTCCTGGACTTTTGTCCAGGATTGTAGCTACAGCTAGTGCAATCCTTCCATACGCCACTTCCACATTTCCCATAATAACCTTATTTGCCCCCCGAAAAATTTTGCATAAGCATTGTTTTCAAATTTGGGGAGGGGGGAGGTGGTGGGGGCAAATAAGGTGCATTATGGGAAATGTGGAAGTGGCGTACAGAGCGTTTTCATCCACGTGGCCAGCATCTATGAAAATTCATTGGAACGAAAGAAAGCGTTGGCATTAGAAAAGAGTTCAACTCCCATAGGACTGGTTTGGGACACCAACATGGCCGCCGTTTCATTGGTTTGGGATACTAATATGGCCGTGAAATCATGTGAAAACACTCTATTCCATATGTGAATGGTAGTGGTCACCTTTTCTAAACTACCATCATCTTTCCAGGATATATTTTTCACCATTCGCAGAATGCTCGAGTAAGTTCCATCTAGGCTCTTTTCTTCTTTTTCGCAGATGCCCTTGTTTAATAGTAACGACTCTAAGCGTACACTTCCACCCCTAGCCTGAAGGAGACAAGAGAAGGGGCCGCGAACGATCTCGGACGTCTGAGTATCAGGATTCTTCCAATCAGGCTATTCCACACCCGATATTTGTCATTTTTAACGAAAATGCCCCACCTTGCGAGGACAACAAAGAAATTATACATTGTAGTACAAAGCTGAAAACTGATTGCAAAAAAATTAACTTATAAAACAAACTGGAAAAAAGCGACTTGAAGATTCCCCCTAATCGAAGAACTTCGAGGCTCCTGATTTGACGTTAAGAAAGTGACCATAATTAGAGTCGAATGTTATATAAAGCAAAATTTGTACTGATAGGACCAAAAAAGTCTTAATAAGCCAGTAACAGCGGGAATGGCTCATTCGTCACGCAACTTTTGAAAATGTTTTCGTAGTGTCGACACAAAGTTCTGGAAATGTGCGGTGCCCTGCGAACAAGCGTTGTTTGCTAGAGAAAGGCGCCATTTTTGACTCGTTTGAACAGTTTCACTATCAAAAGTGTGCCGTAAAACACTATGTTATGAACGAACTGGTAATGGGCAGAGCTTTACAGAAACATGCAAGGGGAAAGAATCCTCAAATCACTTTTAAACGGACAGACAGGTGGTCTTTATGAGGATACGAAGGTAAGTTGAACAATTACAAACTTAGCTGGTTGCTAAATTATTTTACTAAGCTGTAAAATTATGGTAGCTTAATTAAGGACACTTTGTAGCTCAGTTATCGGGCGGTAAACGGTAAAACTTACCGTGTGAAGCAACACTTCGTACCGCCTGCAACTGCTTGAAGGTTTACTACAGCTAAACAAGTAGTTTAAAAAAATACGCAAGTTGTTATCCGATCTGATCAAGAAAATGAATGAATATATGGAAAAGTAGCTTTTTTATGGGCCACGGTCATTTTGGAAAGAGAACATTGCAGACAGAGTAAGATTTTGGGGATCAAATGTTTTAAAATGTTATCTAGAGATAACAACAGAGGATTTGCGAAAAAAAAGGGAGTTTTAAAATGAGGGAATGACGTTTCAAAGAACTTAGCTCCTCCTAGGGTGGGGCCATGTTGCTCACCCCACTACCCGTCTCCCCCTAGGAAAGTGCACCTCTGGGACATAGTTTTTGCCTTACCGGCCATGAATGGTTGCTTACCTGCTAAGCTAGAATTTAGGGAGAACACTGAGGATTTGTAAGGCTACTCACTTTCAAAAACGTTTCGTTGAAGAAAAATTTAGTTCATTCAAAGCAAGCGTCTTGTTACACTCTTCAATTGCAAGAATCGCACGGATCTACATGAGCAGGTTATAGAAAGAGTGCCACTTGAAAGCGAACATTACACTTATTTTAGACGTCTTTTTTGTCAAAGCCTCTCATTTTTCTTAACTCCATGTTTTCAAATGGGTAAAACATTCACCCTTGATATGTTGTTTTTAATATTGTTTGATGGAACTTGCAGAATTATCTTGCTTCACTGCAACGTCCGCTAAAGAACAAAAATGGCTGCCAAGCAGGAGGCAAAGCTACAGAGGAAACTGTATCAAAGTACGCCGTGTTTTGTACCAAGTTCCTAAGGTGTGCTATAGAGACCTTGAAAAATGTGAAAGCCAAGGGAAATGACGTTATTGAGGTCACAGATGCCTTGAAACTAGGTAAGATGAAGCATGTGAACATCTTTAGTTGCTGTTTGGGAGTAAGGTCTTTTCTGAGTTCCTAAAATAAGCTTAATGCTTACTCTTAAAATGGGACCAGCTTCAAAACCTTACTAATGAAAATGAGTTTTATTTATAACACACACACACACTTAACACACATACTTTATTATTATTAATAATCTACTTTTACATAAAGTCCATTTCCGCCCGCAAATAGCAGGTGCTAGTCGAGGCAGGCGGAGATGATAGGTACAGCAGTCAGTAATAAATGACAAATAAATAGATGAATAAATAAATGAATGAATAACTAGATATATATAAATGAAATGAAGCTTAAACATAAATTAATAACATTTACAAAATCAACTACTTGAAACTTGAAAAATTAACTGCGACACTAAATTAAGATATGTATACTTTATAAATTAAACTCTGTTGCTCGATAGTTAGCTATTTTTGAAGCAGAATGGGCGATTCAACATAATTGTCCTCAGCCGCTAATGACGAAAATAGCATGGCATTGATATGTGTTTTGAAAGCTGTCTTGGGGAGGTGGCGAAGTTCATCGCATATTGAGTTCCAAAGCTTAGCTCCGAACCTAGCAAAAGAACTATGGTTTTGATTCAGTCTCGATCGGTTAATATAAAAATCTCGTGATTATGCTTTTCATTAGCTTTAATGAAAAGATTACTAATGTTGGTGGGAACAGTTAGACAAGAGACGTCAAACATTATTGAGGAAACTGTTTCAACGTATAACATATTTAAAGAAAGGATTTTTGAGGAGGTAAATAAAGGCACCGCATGTGCTCTGGGTTCAGAAAAATACATCAATCGAAGGACACATTTTTGTAGCACAAGGATTTTTTGTAAATGGGATTTAGCAGCTTGACCCCAAGCAGCCAAGCCATAGGATAGGTAGGGTAGTATCAAAGACTGATAAATACTTAATAGAGTGGTAAAAGGGACGAGGTACCGAAGATGCGCAATAACTCAATTAATTCTACTTATTTTTAGTGCTACATTGTCAATGTGGTATTTCCAGCTCAAATGACTATCCAGTAAGACACCCAGATATTTTACATGATCCTTACACTCAAGGGAAGTAAGAATGAGATTACTATTATCAAACATTAGAATATTGTTCGAATGGTCCATCTTACGTTAGTGAGGACGAAAGATAACAAAGTCTGGTTTTTTAGCATTTAATGTTGGCTTATTTGCATTGAGCCAATCCGAGACTCTGACCAGTTCGTTATTGGCCAATTTTTCAAGAGATTTAAGATTTTTGTCAGCATTCAACAACTTTGTGTCATCTGCAAAAACGTAAAACGAAAATCTCGCTGAAGAATAAAACTTTACAGCCTACTTATGGTCTGGGACTCCCAGGTACATACAACACATTTCACAGTGGAAAGAAATAGCATTTTCAGCATGGTGTAAGCAGGGCACAACAAAGTGCTATCTGATAATCCAGAGCCAGTAAGGCTTAAATATGGGTCAAATATAAGTTGTCTGATAAGCAAACCACATTTGCTTTAAATGTGAGATTAATGGAGAGCTATAAAGTTAATGTAACTTGCAAATTGTTTTGTTCATATTTCAGTGGGAACACCTCTCAACAACACTTTATCACTCCATCATGGAAACTACCTGAAGTTTATTCCTTCAGTAGATCAGCTTGCTAAAACACTTTACCTTTTGACCTTATTGTTGCTCAGCTCATTGCCAAGGCACAGTTTGAAAGGGCTCTGGATCATGCTAATGACCTCTATAAATTCATCCAGCTTCTTAAGGCATGGAAGAGGTATGACAAGGAAATTGGATCACTTTGTTTACGTTCATCTGATTTGTTACTTCAAGGAGCTGGGAAGCTTGAGGAGGCAAAAGAACCTCCAGGGGAACGACCATCACACTTGTGTGTTGTGTTAGACTGGAGAAAGCTCTCATTACTTTTTCAAGCAGAAGCAAATGTACATTGTTCACTAAAATCCTTAGCGGATAGAATTCTGAAATGTGGGACAAAATTTCAAGTGGATTGTGGGCCCAAGGATGTTGATTTTAAAACCTTAGCAAGCTTCTTTGAAACCATTTTTAGTGCACTCATGAACAAGCAAGAACAACTGATTGCAAATGGACAAGAATTTACAGTACTCTTAGCTGAACTTGGATTTCATTATGGCAGAATTTGTAATAAGGCTAGAAACTCAACAGAAGCTTTGGCTGTGTTTGATAAACTGTTGAAAACTGCAGGAATGCACTTGCACTTGCACTTTTTATTTGAGTGTCGATGTATTTAGCACGGAAGTGCTAATTGGGGACACTATATTAACGTCTCCTACTGGAGACGGGACCGCCATTTTACGTGGTCATCCGAGTCACGCAAAGGTCTACCCTTTTGCAGGGCAAAGGTAGTACCTTCATTACTCAGTTATTTTAAGACCCTGAGTATTGGTCCGAGCCCGGGAACCGAACCCGTGACCTCCTGCTCTGCAGTCTAACGCTCTACCGACTGAGCTAATCCTGCCGCGAATTGAAAACCATTGCAAAAATGGGCATTTTAAACTACAAATACCTCAACAACTTTGTTGCTGTGTGTGTTTAATCTGCAAGGCAGCTATTTTGTTGAGCTCTACTATAAAATCTCAAACTCAAGAATCTCTTCAGCAGATGTTATTCGAAAGTAACTGGCTAGTCTCCCAGATCCTGAAGTGTAGCACATTACCTTCACCAATGTTAAAACTACTTTCAGACTCCCTGGAGTACTTCAGAATTAATTTGCAAAATGAAAGTCGCAAAAAGAGTAAGGAAAAATCACCCACTCTTTCATTGAAGACTCTTCAAGGAACAGTCAGGGCTTCTGATATTTCGCGGGAAAAAAAGCAACATTTCGCGGGATTTTCAGGGGCAAATTCGCGGGATTTGCGCGGGAAAAAAGTCCAAATTCGCGGAACAATCGGGCGATTTCGGGTGATTTTCGCAGGAGAAAAGTCAAAATTCGCAGAAAAATCGGCCCATTTCACGGGATTTTAGCGGAAAAAAGTCAATTTTTGAAGGATTTTCAGGGGCAAATTCTTAGGAAAATCGGCCGATTTCACGGGAAATTTCGAGGGGAAACTTCGCCAAGGAACAATAAGTAAAAAACAGCCGTTTTCGCTGGGGTTTTCTATGGCAAATTTCGCTAAAATAGATCAATTTGGCGTCGATATGACCAGCGTTGGTGAACGTTTTTTTTGACAGGGATAATCATTTGCTCTTTCAACAACAGTTCGCTCGAGAAATGAGCGAAGGGAAGCTATAAACATTATGCTTAGTGCCCAGTTTTTCGCAACGTTCATCTAAAAACGCCTGGTAGTTTTGGGACGTTGTTTACTCGTTGCACTGACGAAGCTTCAAGCTAAATTTGGACATTTGGGGTGAATAAAACCGGTCTAATAGCCAAGATAAGTATTAAATATGTTTTGTCGACATGTATTTGGAAATATTTCTTGCGGATTTCGCGGTATTTCGCGTTTTTTTGGGAATTTCGCGGGATTTCGCGGAAATACCTGAATTTCGCGGGTCCGCAACCGCGCGAAATATCAGAAGCCCTGAACAGTACAAGTGCTGCAGTCTTACATCTCAGTCTTATCTTTGCAGTGTGAGCAGCTTAAGTCAGAGCTGCTTAAATCCAAACATGATGATATGATGGCACAGCTGAAACAACAGGTTCTAAAGACCACAGAACGGCAAATGACAGTCTTCTATAATTTTGTTATTTCTTCATATCAAGATCAGTTGAAGAATGAAAAAGATGCAAAAAGTACAATAAATGATTCAAGGTCAGATCAAAAAACATTTAACATACAGTTAACTACAGTGTACACACCTTATTTTAAGAAAAGGATTATGTTGTGGTTTTATTTTTCTTTGTTTTGTGGCATGTTAATAGATCGTTTTTACTGTCACGCAACAAATAAATAAATAATTTTTTCCAATTATTGGAAACTGTCCAGTGGAAGAAGCCAAGAAAATGAATTATAAAAGACTAATCTATAAACAATTTCTTCAAGTCTCGGATCTTTGTGGCCCACAGTTTCTGAGTTATTTTCCAAGACGTTTCACGCACCTTTGTAGAGCTTTGTATGGAGACGCCATATTTCGACATATTGGTGCACCGTTTTGGTGCACCAATATGGCGGCCGGAAATCAACAAAAACATCTGGGCTTCACTTTTTCTATAAAAGCTCTTTTTTTCACTCGAGAGCGAGAATACTTGCCCATAAAAATATCTTCTAATACTTGAAATGGTTAAACTGCTGAAAATCAAGGGGAGAGACTTTTTTTCAACGAGACAGCATTCCTATTAAAAAGTCATGCACTGTGAAAACTCGGAACTTCAAATTGCTGTATTTTCGGAATGAAACATGCTACAGGAATGGAAACTTGTACAAAGATTTATTTTTTGTTTATCATCAACCTGTTGTAAAACCTCGCTATTTTGACTTTGCAATTTGATGACGTCACTGTGAAAACCATCTGTAGATAAAAACGAGTGAAAAACAAAGGGAAACAGCGTGCAAAGAAAGTAGTATCTGATAGCCCGGGGCTAGTGGATTTTGAATTTCCGTGGAAAGTGGATTTCCGAATAGCAATGACTTTCCTTGCACCCTGGGAAATAAAATGTAAACCAAGGATAAATTTGAACCATAACATATACATGTAACACTTCTGAAATTTTTATTGTATATCCAGTATCCTCAACTCTTGCCAATCAGCCTAACGATTCTTGAAACAAAATTACAAATATCTCTAGAATTTGTCTTTTTTGTGTTGCACACAAATGGGGATATACACTGTAGGCAATATCTCTGACAAGATGGCATTTTGGGGAAGAAGTACTGTAAGTAGTCTGGGTGTGGGAAGGTCCAAAGAGACTGAGAGAAATCTAGTAAGAATATCTATAAAGAACAGGGAAATGAATGAATGTACAGCTGTTGGTGGACCCTTACAAAGAACTACAGAGTCAAACATTTCATGGTATCAATCTTGAGACAGTATACTGAACTGTATACTGAAGTGTTAACACATTCTTTATTTACACTAAGCAGATGTCAGATCTTTAAGGACTGTATTCCAGTAGTGGAACAAGCAAACGCTGTAATTCATTCTGCCCTTGATGATCCAGACATCCCATTGTCTCCAAACGAGCTCCGCTGGCTAGGCTGCAATGTGTACAATTTGGGCTGTGTATCATATCAGAGAGATTGCTTTACTGAAGCAGTTCCTCTGTTAGCTATTGCTTGTGAAGAGCTGAGAGTATGGTGCTTTTCTGGCAAGACTGATGAGGAAATTCTTACAAGGATTGTGGAGGTAATAATAAATATGGCCTTAAGCCTTGTAATTTTTCTAACATACTGTGGGGCATGAAATGTTTGCAGAAGTTTGCGATTTTCGTGTTTTGCGGGAACAAATTTTGCAATTAGGAGAGATTGGGTTTTTTTTGCTGGGAATTGATTTTTGTGATTTCAGAAAGTTCCAGACCAGTCATTGTTAATATTTTCCTTTTTATTAAGTTATGCGCAATGGAAATGCATACAGTGAAGAAAGTTTCAAACAATGCTACGGTTTGTGTACCCTACACTGTATGTAAAACCAGTGTAACAGATGACTTTTCTTTGTCATTCGATTACAGTAACATCTGGGATGACTAATCGTTCTGATCATTGATTGGAAGAATTTAAGTTGGAAAATAATTATTTACAGTGGAGAAATTTTTTGCAGGAAAAATATGTGCTGGAAAAATCACAAAAATCATAACCTGCAAAAATTTTGTGCCACAACTAAGGTAAATGATGTACCATTTTGATAAGCCCCAATAGTGATTATTACCAAATTTATCCTTATAATACTAGTGCTCATCAATCATTGTTTATATTGGGTATGAAATACTTGTGATTCTTTTTTTTTTGGCACTGTGCATAAAATGCCACATCAATGGTTTTCTTTTTTTCTGAGAAAAGGATTAGCAAACACTTGTGATGTTAACCCACCAGATGGGTCTTACAGTAATCTGCAGTCCTGTCATGCCGTCATTAATAATTAATTAACTGATTTCGTTTAGGTGAAGCTCCTAACAAAATTTGCACTGCTGACTGACTGTCAGCGACGAGCCTAACAGATGGGTGGTGCACTGACAACAGCTACCACTCAGGTTCTGATGCAAATGTCTTATGCAGCAGATCAAACAATGGACAACAGTGAAACATGAACTGGTGAAAAGTATGCAAGATGAAAAGAAACAAGCTGAAAGATCAAGGTTTGCAGTGAATCTTTGTTAACAAAGTAATTTTGATTAAAACCACGCACGCACCGCTGGGTGAGAATACATGAAGATGTCATATTTTTATTACAACTGCATGAATCCTTCATTGAGGTGCCCTTTTCTAAAAAGTATGAGATTCTGTTAGTCCAATACATTATGTCATGTCTTACCTGTCTTTCTATTTTTCTCTGTTTACCATAGAACCCGGTGCAGTGTTTTAGCACAACAGAAAGATGCTGAAGATATTGACAGCAGTCAGCTTTGTTTAGTTCTTCAGGAAGAGCTTGCTTCTTACAAAGCAAAGAAGTAAGTTCCCAAAAACACGGACATCACAAGGTTTCTGGACCTGTTGCAGAAATAGAGAAAGAGTTCCTTATTTTAATTGTCCATTTAGCTCTTTCATTAGCATACAATCGTGTATGAACCAGATCCTGGAAAGAAATATTACAGTCAAACCAGGAAAACCGTGAACACTATTTCTGGAATGCTATTGTCTTACAAGAGAAAAGCCAATCAGGCGTGAGAAAACTAAACCACAAGCAAAAAAGTTAGTTAGTTTGTGGTTTTGTGGCCAGTACGCGTGTCCTGAACTTTGCTGTGATTGGTCGTAACACGACACACATTCTTGAGGTATTTGAAGTTTTCATAGTTTACCGGGTTACACTGTAAGGTCATGTGAAAGTACAGTGTACATGTGCATGTATTGCTGACAGGACTGTCACTAAGAAACAGGGACCAGGGATTTCCACCGGCGACTGTGAGCGTGAGCCCCAACTTCTCTCATAGGAAACAAAAGTAAAATACATTATGTAGAACCAAAAGAACTTCCTAGCTGTACAATTCCCCTCCTACTAGTTACATATACCTGGCAACTTGTGTAGTTTAAGGAAAGGATATACTACTGTAGATGTTGAGTAGTAGATAAGGCACCGGTTACGCCGTTTCTTTGCGGATTTAATTAACTTTTTGTGCGGTATAAATTAACGCAAATGACGTCATGCATCTCATTAAGATAGGATGATGACATAGTTTATTTTTAGCTGGCAAGGAGCAAGTGACGTCAGAATTTCCTAGAGTTAACGTCATCAAAAAAATTTTGAGATCATAATCTATAAACAGAAAAGTGATTTTATATAATTAGCTATTTGCTACAGTCTTCTGATTAGATATTGTTTGCTATACTCTTCTGACTGGATATTGTAGAAACTGTCATGTGTTCAAAATAAAAGGGGGCAAATTTTGAACGAGTTATCTTTGCAGATTATACTAAATGAAAAATCTTTAATCATTAAATTATTTTCACTAAAAATCGGTTATAAACAAAACCAAGACACGAAGGTTAACTGAAAAATCCTTACTTCAAAAGAAGGGAAAAGGAGGTTAAGCGAATGCGAAATCGTACAAATTTTTCAGACAAAACATGAAAACGAGGTCGAAGCGAAGCGAAGCGAAGAACTGCCTATCAAGCAAAAATGTCAATCTTCGTTTACTTGACTCTGTAGAAAGTATTGCACAGGGTATGAAAATTCTATAGAAAACAACAGGTGGTTCTAAAGTAAACCCTAACTCTTTTGGTTCTTAAATAAACCCCATTCTTGTTCCTAATGAGTGGAAAGTCTGTTTATAAAAATAGGAATCAGAGGTGCGATCGCCTAGCAATACATGTCTTCTTATTTAGCGCTAAAAATCGGATATATAAACAAAACACACACACACACATGCACAAAGTGGAGCTGAAAACTCTCTATTTCAATTTTGACTCACCATTACAAAAGCATTTCTCCGTTCTATCTCGAGGAAACTCGGCGCTTGATGAACTTATGGTCTTGTCAATTCACGCGCCTTTAGCGTTAGTCAGTTAATTATGCGGTTTAACAAGCCCAAAGTTGAATACAAATTAGTTCATCTCTACAGCTAGACCCAAGGGAGCACCTTGACTTATTACTGTAAAAACACAAACAATTAATAACTTAACAAGGATCAATTGATTAAACACGCTACTAATAATTGGTAGCAATGAAATCAGACACGAGATACCGTTTAAAACAAATTAAAAAAGAGTCAAATACACAGCGTTTTGAAAGAAATCTATTAAAATAGTCAAAGAAAGCAAGCTATCTTTTTTACCACGTTTCCCTCCTCAATTTTTTTTTATTCCTTCCTCCACAATTTTAGTATTTTCGCTCCTCATTCTTGAATTCCCTCCTCCAAAATTTTAATATTTTCCCTCAATTTTTTTTATTCCCTCCTGCACAATTTTAATATTTACCCTTAATTTTATTATTTTCCCTCCTCAATGTTATTATTCCCTGCTGCACAATTTTAATATTTTCCCTTAATTTTATTATTTTGCCTCGTCAATGTTATTATTCCCTCCTCCTCCTCATCATTTTGATTGTTTTCCCTCCTCCTCCTCCACCTCCTCCAAACCAAACTTGGAGGGAAAACAAAAATGAGGAGGAGGTCGAGGAGGAGGAGGAGGAGGAGGAGGGAATAAAAAAAATTGAGGGAAAATATTAAAATTGCTTGATAAGCAGTTCTTCGCTTCGCTGAGCTTCGACCTCGTTTTCATGTTTTGTCTGAAAAATTTGTACGACTTCGCATTCGCTTAACCTCCTTTTCCCTTCTTTTGAAGTAAGGATTTTTCAGTTAACTTTCGTGTCTTGGTTTTGTTTATAACCGATTTTTAGTGAAAATAATTTAATGATTAAAGATTTTTCATTTAGTATAATCTGCAAAGATAACTCGTTCAAAATTTGCCTCCTTTTATTTTGAACACATGACAGTTTCTACAATATCCAGTCAGAAGACTATAGCAAACAATATCTAATCAGAAGACGGTAGCAAATAGCTAATTATATAAAAATCACTTTTCTGTTTATAGATTATGATCTCAAAATTTTTTTGATGACGTCAACTCTAGGAAATTCTGACGTCACTTGCTCCTTGCCAGCTAAAAATAAACTATGACATCATCCTATCTTAATGTGATGCATGACGTCATTTGCGTTAATTTATACCGCACAAAAAGTTAATTAAATCCGCAAAGAAACGGCGTAACCGGTGCCTTATCCACTACTATGTTGCGGTTCAATTTTTTCCCTGGTTTAAATTTTGTTTTGGGAACTGTTAATAGATGATAACAAGTGAGAACCAAAGGGGAATAAAATTTAAACCAAGAATAAAATTGAACCACAACAAGTACGTTGCAGTTTAATTTACAACATTGATTTCGGATTTTCGGGGGAAGCGGTTGGGGGGATAGAGATGTCTACTATGTAAAAAGGGTGCCATTTCATGGGAATGTCTCAACACTGACTTTTGTCCGTCATTGTCTGAACGCAAAATTTTGTTACTGCACACATGTTGAGCATTGGGTGACAATGATATTGTTAACTCAAATTCAGTAAAGCGGAGTTATGTTTTAGTTTAAATTATTGCTGGTGGGAGTGACATTGACTTAATTACGTCCAAATTTTAGGTCTAATAGGAGTTACCTGATGACGTAACAAAAGGGCTACGACTGTCAGAATAGACGGCGATATGCTTTTTAAGGGAAAAACAAGACGCCTAAAGTCGTTTCCGTGGGATGCGTTGGTCTATGGAAGCATAATGGCGTTCTATCTGAATTTGGAAAAATTAGGGAGACCGGAAAGATGTGTCATGTTATGAGCATCATCTGTATGGGTTGGTTTAATGCTCTCTGATTAACCTGAACAGGAACTATATGCATAAAGATAGGTCATATCTTGGTAGTAAGTTGCCACAGGTAACTTTTTCAAAGAGAAATAAACATTGTAGTTTTAGGTTAATGGAACAAAACAAAACAAAACATCCGCTTGCTTTATCCAGGGTCGAACCCAGGGTTACAAAGTTCGATAAAGTCCAATGTTTTAATCCAAGATGAAAGTTTAATATTCCAAGATGCTCTTGATACGATTAAAAATTAATTGCAATGTGTTTCCAAGGTCTCAAAGTTAACATAGTTCCAATGATTATCCCTGATTCCAAGGTATAATAAGTTTACCAAGGTCCTGATCCGTGTCCCATCCAGAAGTCCAATCCATGCCGAAAGCGAGTCGTCGATCGACGAGGACAATATTTTCGCGATTTCACCGTCAGTCGTCAAGGGTACGAGTTGAAATTTACGCGATTTAACCTCCCATCGTCAAGGTGTTTTCGATAAAAAAGAAAAAAACTGAACTCTGGCTGTGCTTGGCAAAAACTGGCGAACTCCGAATAGAAAATCTATCGGAAATCATGGCCCGCAACCAGACGCTACCAATACCTTATGAAAAAGCTAAACCTAAACAAAAAAATAATCATGAAGGGAAGAAATAATTTGGCTTAGGTCGCCTTTCGTGACTTGCCAGTATCTCGAAGGATTTCGCTGGTTAACAAGCCATCCTAAACCACGAGTGGGAAAACTAAACTCAAGGGCGACAAATTTGGCAAGGAACGTTCTGATTTCAACATTCTTCAGAGGAAGCAAATCGATTAAAAATCGATACAGATTTTGTACAATCTGATTGGTCGGCTTGGAAGAAGAGATAATCGATGAAGATTTTAGGCAATCCTATTGGCTGGCTTTGCAATTTTGGGTACAACCGAACCGGATTTTTACCGTGGGAGTGCCACAGGCATCCCACGGAATTAACACTAGAACTCGCGTGTATGTGCGATTTTTCGTATAATTCAAGGGTATGTGTACTAAAAAATGTATAGGAAGTGAATATTTTAGGTTCTTCACTTTACTGGATTGTACCAGCAGAAAAAAGTAACGTGCAGAGTAAAGATCGATCAGCAGAAAGAAAGTCACTGGGCGGCCACGGAAATTGATATTCAGTGTTTTATCTTTAGAATTGGCTGCTCTAAAATATAAATGAAGTTTCCAAATTGCTAGAAAAGGATAGCGGTGAGCACTACCCAAAAAGAGTCCTGCGGTTACACAGGGGTACTTAAACTCCCGGGTTGAATTCACCGGAAGTGAGTTTGTTCACTCGTAGCCCTAGCACCTCCGGGTGAAGGGAATCTTAAAGTTTCTCAACCGATTTATGCGCCCTGATACGGTCACTATCAATTCTGCAAGAAGTACGTAAATCTGATTCCGCTTGGCTGATTTAGCGTTAAAAATGGCGGCGTCGGTTTGGTTAGATCTTGTTAGTTGGCCGATTCAGCAAGATAAATACATGAAGTCAGATCTAATAAGATATAATCCGAAAAAGGGGGAAAAGCTGGACTTTTAAGCTAGCAAGGTAGGAAAATTAAGGTATTTTATCGTACTTTGAAGTTAACAAATAACCCTTCGCAATTTGCATCTGAGCAGGCATAAGTTGGATGATCGATTGCTCCTATTACAATCATAAATACTCACTAATTACCTCTTCAAATGCTTACCAGCCTTATTCTTTGAGGTGAATGTAGCATTGGACACCGAATAACGGTGCTACTTTACGCCAAGAAATTCTGGGTATTAACTTAGGTTCTTGTGTAGATTCAAGTACTTAGTAGGATTCTTCAAGTTATATTTGCATAAAGCATTGACAAAGTTAAGGTGTGGGATTCAGGTCGTTTCATTTCAAACTTGCAGTTTGAGTTGTTTCTATACAAAGACAAGTCGCTTCGCAAAGACGAAGGCCCGACAGGCCGTGCTCAGCAATGCAGAACTTGCCTGTACTTGTCTGCCATTTCGTTTGTAAAAGTTTTATCGTCTACTACTTCCACGACGGTTGAAGTTGGTTGATTCCTAACACATTACTTATTTTACATCTAATACGTGTAGATTCAGTTATAAACAATGACTTTGGCTGCCTCGTTTTGTTCTTTAATCTTTAATCATTATTTATTCACGGTTGTTGTATACAGTCATATAAATGTGTGTGCATTAGTCCGAATAAATATAAACCTTTGTCTAGTTTTAAAAGCTTTCATTGGTCAACTTTCAGGTAACTGGCTGTTATTCAATAATATTGAATAACAGCCAGTTGATCTATTATATCAAGCATTTATTCCATTGTTACGGATCATACTTCTATGCATGGTGATCCATTTGAAAGAAAAATAAAAGAAATTAAAAGTTAATCGGTTCCCCAATCCGCCGTGCGTAAAGATCAATTTTCTTAACTCATATCCAAGTTAAGTTTTTTAGCTGCAGTTACTTTGTTATCAATTGTTAATTATATAAAAGCCTAAAGCCTGTAACGCGACAGCAGCTTTTATATTTTTTTCCCATTTGATATTCTTAGAATGATTAGGAGGCTTCATTGGTACCCTTCTTGTTTTGATACACATTTCGTATATCAGGTTCGCGGAAACGGTAGCTTAGTTTCCGCCTGGGATACGCCTATGTAGACTTCTTTGCACAGTGAGCTGATTTGCAAAAATGCATGCAAAACGTATGGCACTCTAAATACTCACGGAATCAATGAACGACGTTGTGATTTGTATAATAATTCTTTAGCTGCGGACATGAAATATAGTAACCATGGTACAAAAATTACGGTTCTTAAACAATAGCTATGTCTATTTTCAATTTTTTTTTTCTATTACAACGTTCATAGTTTTGCAGTAATCAAATCCTTTATCGTTTATATCATTCGCTTTGCAATAGATAAGGTGAAGCCAAACGCTAAAACTCTCCATTTCCATAAATGCAATCTACAGTATTGCAATAATACAGCCTTATAAATCTTTGTAAATAAGAAAAAATGAACTGATTTTTGAATTTAAGAGTTACTGGAAAGCAAAGAAATTCACCTTCCGGGGATACATCATTTCACTTCCGGTCAAGATTGCTGCCGTTTAAATAAAATCCCCATAACTCGCGTCAGCACCAAAATCCGCGATAGCTCCATATCAGAGATTAATCAGTGTAGAATATCGAAGAGGCAACATTTTTCCAAATGTGATGCTTTTAACCCAAAAGCGCACAATTCGATAAAAATTCTGCATATATCCGCCCCACTACAAAGATTTACTCTTGTTGTAGTTCCGGTATGGTACCATGAGGAGGCAGTGTGGCTGAGAAGTCAGCTCGTCGGACTCGCAATCCCGCCATTCTAGGTCTGACCACTAGCTGGGTGTGTTTCTCGGAAATTGTCCAACTCAGTTTAAAGAAGCAAACTTTTATGTTCTCCAACAGATCTGAGTATTACTGTGCTGCAATAGTTTCATGTACAGTGCTGCAAAAGCTATTGATAACTAATTCATGCATTCGTTAATTTAAATTAGAGAAGCTTACAATATAATTTTAAAAAATAAAAAATAAACATTGCTTACTTTAAAGTATTCATACAGTGGGAGTAAGTACTCTGGAAAGAAGTTTGTCTCTCAATCCGGGGCATGATGACATAAAATTAGTCTGAATTCTTGTAAAATGGCCAGTTGGGCTCAGTAGATGTGATAATACAGTTTCTTTTGATAACAGTAGTGGAAACGGGAAAAAAACATAAGTAAAAACCATATGTGTTTAGTTATAGAAGAATAGCTTGGATAATATTAATAGTAAAAAGTGAGTTTCATCTTCAATTTTTTCAGAGTTACAGACAGGACTCAGCAGTACATCACGGAGGATCTGCATTTTCCTCCACCACTGAACCATGGCTGCATCTTCTGGCCAACTCCAAAATGTGAAAGACACATGGAACGTCAACAGTCTGACTTCTCACGAGGTTTTTTGTTTTCACTTGTTTTTTGAAAGGCCCTAATCCGTCTAAAGCCTTGACTGTCGACAACAATCTTTAATAGTAAGGGGCAGATTGATGGGGTACAAAACAAGACAATAGCAACAATTATATGGAGTATCTTTCTTCGGTGAATTTATTGATCATTGAAGGTTTCCTGGATTGAAACAAGAAACTCAGTGTTACAAGCTGTTTACGCACAGACTGGGTTTGTTTGTTTGTTTTCAAACCCATAACTGTTTGATTATTTTTTTACTTCCGATGTGAATTAAATAAAGGAAGCATGTATCATATCTTTTCTTGTTATTCTTCACTTGATTTGTGACCATTCATTTTCAGTAAAATTAGTGAGCAAATTTGTGGCAAATTTTTCTCCCCCAAAAATTCAGGCCTAAAGGGTTATAGAAATAACCAATAGCTTTGGCTGGACCTTTACTGTGGCAAAGAATGGCTCGGGATGTTTGCGCTTGTCCTGAATTTAAGCCAAAGAACAATTCTCCTATTGGCTTCGTTTTGGGTAGTGAAAGGTTGACAAGACAAATAGACGTTGTTTCCGAAAGGGATTGCCACAGGAATTTAAAAGCAAAAAAATTATGTTCTAAGTTCTGCCTTTTGAAATGATGAGTTAAAATAGGAAATTAACACGTATTAATTTTGCGTAGTACCTGTTACTCTCTGTTTGTTTCTGAAGACAATTTCAAGCCTTTTGAAGTACAACTCGAAACTTAAAACTCACCAAGGCAGCTTTTTATGGGTCCCCTCACAGTTAACAAAAGAAAACTCTCCAGCATTTTCAAGTCGTTTGTCGTTCTCATTACTTTCATTCTTTCCTTCAGACTAGCTTTTCTAAAAGCGGAGATGAAACCACACCACAGAAAGCAACTGGACAGAGTGCGTTATCTGCTACCAGCAGAACCTTGAACGTTACTCTTCTTGGTGATGAGTGGGGTTCATCTGCTGGGGGGTTGTCGACCATAAACAGAGAGCTTGCTATTCACCTTTCACAGCAGCCAGGAGTAATTGTATCTCTATTGTGTCCAGAAAAAGCTTGCAGCACTGAAGAAATAAGAGAAGCTGATGCCTATGGAATCGCCATTGTTGAGGCGAAAGAACGTGCAGCATATGATCGTCTTGATTGGTTGAGCATTCCACCCCCGGACCACTTGATGGACATCGTTGTTGGCCATGGTGTTAAACTTGGTCGGCAAGTACAGTTCATCAGAGAATCTGCTCGATTTCCAAATTGCAAGTGGGTACAGGTGGTTCACACTGCTCCAGAGGACCTGAGCAGATACAAATGCTACAGTGACCCCATTTCAAAAGGTGAAACAAAACAAGAATCAGAAGTTGAACTTTGCAAACTTGCTGATCTTGTTGTACCCGTGGGGCCCAGACTGAAAGAAGCATACTCTTCATATTTACAGCGATGTAAGACAGAACGAGACGTTTTGTCCATTACTCCAGGTCTTTTTCAAAGGGAGTTTGGGGATTTAGTAGCAAAACAAGATCCTAATCAGGATGGCGAATTTAAAGTGTTGTTATTTGGTCGTGGGGATGATGAGGACTTTGAACTCAAAGGATACAACATTGCTGCCAAGGCATTTACTGATCAACGGCTAAGAAACAAACCTTACCATCTAATCTTTGTGGGAGCACCTGAAGGAAAACAAGAAGAAGTCAGGGGAAAACTTCTTCAACGTGGTATTGCCGAAGCGCAGTTAACTGTTAGAAAATTTATACAAAGCAGAGAGAAACTGAAAGATTTGCTGTGTGAAGCTGACCTTGCCATTATGCCATCAAAATCAGAGGGATTTGGTCTTGTCGCACTCGAGGCTTTGTCTGCAGGCCTACCTATTCTTGTTGCTAGTAAGTCGGGAATTGCCAATGCATTAGAGAATGTTCCTCATGGTCATACATGCATCGTTAATTCGGATGATCCTGCAAAATGGGCAAAAACAATTCACGGTGTTCGTGTTAGGCATCGAATGCGACTCGAAGAGGTTAAAACATTAAAATCAAGTTATGGAGAAATGTACAGCTGGAAGGAACAAGGCAAAGCCCTTGTGGAGAGAATGTGGAAAATGGTCTATGGTAAGAGTTGTTGCTTTGAAACTCATGCATAAAACAATGAATATTATTTATACTATTTGTACATGTTAGTTTGACTTTTGCCCGTGTGTTCCGAACATTATTGCGATTGGCCACTTAGGCAAAATCAATTTCAGATGTTCATGGTTTTCTTGTCTCAACACTTATTAATAAACCTAGTGTTTTTGTATTTTGGTAATTTGGTATTTTAATAGTGTTGATGTAACTTAGTATTTCACAGGGCCATAAACTTTAAGTTTAAAAAGTTATGCAATGTTACGGGTCAAATTAGTTCCCAGGTTAAATATTTTTAACCTAGGTTGATTCTTGATTTCCTTTGACTACGAGGCCTAGAGGACAAAGGAAATTGAGAATCAACCTGGGTTAAATCAAAATTAACCTGGGATCAAATTTGACCTGTAACATGTACGTGATTGTTCTATCATGAAAAGTATGGCTGAAGTGTAATTCAAATTAAAAGTGTCCAAATGGACAAGGCAATGATATGCAATCCAAAAGCACCTACTATTCCAGAACATCTGGTGAATCTTTTGTAGTTAATAGGATTCCTTAAAACAACTCTATTAACTTTCCCTCACAATGAAAGCATTCTTATAACCAACCAACAGGGTCTTCCGAAAATGTCATCATGCCGAGAAATGAAGAGCCAATTGTTGAAGAAACTTTCCGTGCTGAAAGGAGAGCTGATTTTGCAGCAGCAAGTCAAACTAAAAGTAGCTGTAGGCATATTCCAGGTATGGAAAGACATTATTTGCTTTCTCTTGCTTCTGCCCCCTGGTGTGAGCAAAGGGTGGGGTGAGAGGCCCACTGAAGAGTGTTTACCGTTTAATTTATAGCAGGGAAAAAACTATACTGCCCACTGAGCTGAGCTGAACTGATCAACTTTATTTACAGTGTCACATCTTCTATGCTGGCTGCACGTAGCTAAGTAACCCGGGAAATCTATGCTAACTTGGATACTGACGCACTGTAAGGTTACGGTAAATCATCTATTCTTGGTTTTCACCCATGTGACCCGCCGCTTGACAACGGTTGCTATCCGCCATGTTGGTGTCCCTCAAACGTGATCAAAACCAGCTCGAAAAGATGTAAGAGTGCGGTAGTAGATATGGTAGTTTGCATCGTTGGTTGTTGTAGAAAAAGTGAGAATAAAAACACCCAAAGATTTTTTCGTATTTCATCATTTGTCAAAAACAAGGGCGAGGAATTCGAAGAAACGACTACAGAAAGGAGAAAATCTCTGGATTTCGGCAGTAAGTCGAGACGGTGACCAGGAGACATGGTCATGGCGGATAAGGGTTAAATCGTCGCAGACAGAGTTGATACAAAGTCGTTTCGATACAATTTTATTTAGTTGAGTTGTAAATAGTTTCACAAACATGGCGTAAAGAACGAGAAATGTTCACCCAAAATGTTTTTCTTGTTCACGCGCATATTATACTTGTCATAATTGAGGTGACCGAAATTTTTGTGCAATTTCAATGCTAGAGTTCGTATCAAAACGACCGGTTTCGGCAGAGAGTGTTGGCTTTAAGCAGGCTAAGCTGGCAATTCCAGCCTTTACAAAAAGGAAGTGAAATTTGCATCCAGTTGACAAAAAAACCAGAGGGATAGCAAGTGTTCAAAACTATAGAGTTGCTGTGGCACAGGTATATCACTTTTGAGGGAGCAATTCCAACAGATTTTCTTGCTTCAAACCGAAATGGATCCCCTGGTACACAGATCCTGATGATTGATCGTACTGTGAGGGTATGCTCTGCACTTGCCAATTTATTCCCACCAAATAGTTGTTCTTTTTCAGTTGCTTTTGACTAGATCTGTTGTATTAAGTCTCAGAAAATATCCAAGCTCCTTCAAAGAGTCAATGAGGGGTTTTGCTTTTTTTTACCCTAGATATGAGCGTCATATTTTCTTTGGCCTGAAATTTTGTCTTAAAATCGCCATCCCACCTGTAATTTCCAATGACGGCCTTAGTGTTGCGAGAATGGATACTTTCTGGATCTTTCATTTCCAGTTGCGTGCTTTTCAAGAAAGTAAAGTAGGATTATCTAGTCTTGTGCTGAAGGTTTTCGTTGGGAAACCCTCACTGTGACAAATTGTTTCTTCCTGAGTCTTGTGATATATAAAGGTGATTCTATTTTCCCGGGAAAATACCAAGAAGGGCAAGAAAAAGTTATAGTCATTTAAGAAAGTAGTCTTTTGGAGAGTGCATGTGCCCAGCTACAGCTAAATAACTGTTTCCATTCCAAAAAATAGCTTGAAGCTCTCTTAGCCTGTGTACAACCGCCCTCTCCCCGCAAACAAAATTAGACTGCGAGCAGTCTCTATTGTTCTTCAGATTTCGTGAGAGGAGTGCATGCGCGCTCGAGCGTCGAGCCCGTCTCGCTCCTTCAGTCTCGCGCGTGGTATTTTTAGTGTCTCGCGAGTTTCGCTGAACGGACTGAAAAAAAGGGAGACTGCTCGTAGTCTAAAGCAAAATCAGCGAGAGAGACCTCTCCGTCGTTAATCAACTTCTGGTTTCCCCGGATTGTCAGGGATTTCCTCTGATTAGCTGTCATGTTGATACCGTGACGTAAGTAATTTCCGGTATTGTGATGGTGAATGAATCTTCGAGGATAAAAACTTTAGTGTGTCTCCCCAATTTTGTTTAACTGGAGGGGGCGGATGTAAACAGACTCTCTAAGGGAACAACTCGGGGTTTTATCAGCTGTCCGTTTGCGAGGGTGTCCGCAATTTACTACCAACACCTGCACCTATCTTGACTGTTTGGATCAACCAAAACAGCTACTGTTCGCAGATGTGAGCAATTTTGATACAAGTGGCAGCTTGGTTGATGTAAACGAAGAACGCGATACGCAGTTGGACATTTGGTCTTCTTTTGACGCAATGGCAAACAAACATCGAGCTAATACCAAGATTGGGCACATTAACGCAAATAGCATTGCTGACTTTCAATTCTTTGAAATTAGAAGTTGGCTAATGTCTGGATGGTTTGACATACTCCTCATAACAGAGACGAAAATAGATGCTACCTTTAGCAATAGTCAGTTTAATGTGGAAGGATTTCGTATGTATCGTGTCGATAGAAATGCTCATGGTGGTGGACTGATGATCTTCATAAGGAATGACATCTGTTTTCCTTTCGTTACACGTTTCAATGTAGACATGTCAAGTTTTCGCACTGAATCCATGTTATTAAAAGTCAAAATAAATAAATCTTGGTCTGGTATCGTTGGCATCTACAGACCTCCTAAAACTCCTGCCAACTGGGAGAGTTACAAAAGAGCTCGGAATAAAGCAGTTTTTCTATTGAGAGGAGCTAAGTCCGAGTTCTTTAAAACTACCTTCGAGAATAATAAGAATAACCCCAAGGGAATCTGGAAGACAATCAAATCGCTCATCGGTGCCAATAAACAATAATCGATTAATCACCTAAGAATCAAAGAGAAAGATTTGGGAAACAACGAAGAAATGACTGAAGCATTCAATGTACACTTCTCAACAGTTGCAGATAAGCTGAGAAAACTGTTACCCGACGTGCCGTTTGACACCTCTAAGTTGAGTAACTTTGTAAGATCTCGGAAGGATGAAAGTGCTGCTTTCTCAATTCCACCTATAGCAGAAGCAGATGTTGTTGGCTATCTTTTGAAAATTGATTCCAATAAATCTACTGGTGGCGACGGCGTCAGTTCTCGAATGCTTAAACTAGCTGCTCCGATTATTGCACCTTCAATCACAAAGTTGATCAACCTATCTTTTTCTTAAAACGTGTTTCCCAGTCGTTGGAAAACTTCCAAGGTAACACCAATCTTCAAAAGCGGAGACCCCACTGATGTTACAAACTATCGTCCAATATCAGTTTTACTCATTCTGTCTAAGATTGCTGAGAGATATGTTCATAATGCACTCTACACCTTTTTGTGCGAAAACGATTTAATCTACTTCAGACAATCGGGCTTTCGCTCGAAGCACAGCACTGAAACTGCCTTGATCAAGATTATTGACGATTTGCTATTCAGCCTCAACAAAGACCGTGTCAGTGGAATGGTTTTGGTAGATTATCGTGAAACGTTTGACATGATTGATCATACCCTGTTGTTAAAGAAACTTGAAATGTATGAGATTAGTAGGGATTCTCTTCAATGGTTTACCTCTTATTTGAAGGAAAGACGCCAACTTGTTAAGCTGGGAGATAAACAGTCAAGTGTCGCTATTGTTCGTCATGGTATTCCCCAGGGGTCCATACTTGGCCCCTTGTTATTTATCGTCTTTATCAATGACCTACCGCTTTACGTCACTTCATCAAGAATTGATTTGTATGCCGACGATACAACGCTGACTTCCAGTACGAACTATAGCTCTATCGGAAGGCTAGAGGGTACCCTAAACTCGTCAATTGCCGAAATCGTCGATTGGGCAGCTTCAAACTGACTGCCAATTAATGAAGGTAAAACCAAGGCTATGCTAATCACTGGCAAGCGTCTTCCCTCAAAGATCAATGAAGAAATGACTTTAACTATCAAAGGAACTGAACTCGAACTCGTTCCCAGTGCTAAGCGCTAGGTCTCGAAATTGACTCTGAACTGTCATTTACTTCCCATGTAGAGAAACTTGTAAAAAGCTGTCAAAGCGAATTGGCGTGTTAAAAAAGATAGGATCTTGCCTGCCCATGAAACAAAGGCTATTGTATTATAATACTATGATAAGATCTGTATTGCATTATGTCAGTTCAATCTGGACTAGTTGTGATAAGGAGAATTTAAGCCGTGTTTTTAAGCTACAAAAGAGAGCAGAAAGGGTAATTTTCGACGCTAATAACCAGGCGTCTAGTGTTAGGCTTCCTTTTTATGAAGAAGTGAAAATAACTAAATGTTGTGTGGCATATAAACGCATCAAGGGTGAAGTTCCCTTATATATTGAAGACTCCTTAAGACTCAACAGTCAGCAACATAGTCGTGTAACTAGATATAGTAATATAAATTTTATTTGCCCAAAATTTAATCGGGTCACCGAAGGCGGTAGGTCGTTCACAGTTTCTACTTGCCAACTCTGGAACAGCTTAAGTCTTGACCTTAGAAATGCAGCATCACTAGAATCCTTTAAGAATAATTATCGAAATATCTTATTTAAAGAGCAGCGGGAATTACACCATTTCATAGTTTAATCATATTCTTGTATCTATTTCACTAGCCATATCATTAGCTCTTAAACTCATTCATATTGATGTAGAACTTTTACATTTCCTTAGTTTTATTTATTTTGTACTTAGACTTTGTATATTCTTAATCTTATGCTTTTTGTAATTTTAATTTACATAGAGGGCCACAAGTTTACTAGTTTCTGTAATTATTCCGTGCTACCCTCTTTAAATAAAGTGTATTGTTATTATTATTATTATTATTATTATTATTATTATCCCAAAAGTCAGTGGAAACGTGAACTTAGTGCTATTTTGGAAGATGCAACAACAATTTCAAATGACACTATCTTCTTGGGTGATTTCAACTGTGATATGATAGAACCAAACAAGCCTCCCATGGATGGACGGGATTTGTGTGGTTTATTGGACATTTATAACCTAAAGAACCTAATCACATCACCAACTAGAACGACAGAAAAAACAACAACAATCTCGATCTCATTCTTACAAACAACAAGAAAAGAATACTATCATCGGGCGTGGTTGATGTCTAAATCCCTGATCAGTCCCTCGTATACAGAATTTTAAAAACCTTCGCACCCAGATTTCGATCTTCAAAAGTTTGCGAGAGAAGATTAAAAGTTTGGCAGCGATGCTATCCTACAAGGTTTGCATAATGCTCCTTTCAATGTAATGAAATTTTTCCATGATGTAAACGATAAATTCTTCGCATTTGAATCGCTGTATTTAGATATTATAAGTGAGCACGCGCCTCTAAAGCAATTCCATGTGAGAGGCAATCAAGTACCGTTCATGAATGAACAATGGCGCAAAGCCACTCGGCATAGAAACAAGCTGTGGAAAAAGTTCACTCATGGTCGCACTGATGCTCATTACGCCCTTTACGAAGAAAAAAGGAATAAATGTACTTCGCTGAGACGAAAGGCAGTCAAGTCGTATTTTCTCAATAAATCGGAAACAGCAAACTCAAATGATGTTTGGAGCACTTATCGTCCGTTTCTTCACCCAATGATAAACTTGAGCTTTTGAATAAACGCGTTTTGAGATTTATATTTAATGATGTAAATTCTAGTTATGACGAGTTGCTAAAGAAGGCTAAGACAACATCTTTGAGCAGTGGAAGAAATCACAAAATGCTTATTGTAATGTTTAAAAGCTTATTTGTCTCTGCGTATCCTAATTGTCTTAAGAAACTGCTCTCTCTTCGCAGCTCCAAGTATTATCATATTTTAAGAGGGAATAATGTACTAAGCTTACCTGAACCTAGGATAACCACTTATGGACTCGAGTCCGTCAAGTACGAAACTGAAAAGCTCTGGAACTTACTTACTGACGACATGAGACTAACAATATTAATCGGAGACTTTAAAAACTCCTGAATGACTGAGTGCATGGATCTCGCAAAGTGAAAGTCACTATTTTGGCATCTGCATGGGGATCAAGTAATGGGGCTTTCCACCATAAACAGAGAATTAGCCATGCAGTTTGTCAAGTTCCCTGAAGTGAAAATCACTTTCTTTTTACCAAAATGTAGTCAAGAGGGTAGAAAGATAGCCCTGGAACACAAAGCAAAGATCGTGCAGGTGACGCCTCTGCCTGTCCTTGAACAACTGGATTGGCTTTTCTTTCCGCCGAAAGATTTGCAAATCGACGTTATCGTGGGTCATGGAGTTAAACTCGGTAAACAAGTTCAAGTTATTAAAGACCGTAAAACGTGCAAATGGGTTCAAGTGGTACACACAGACCCAGAGGAACTTGGGATGTTTGAAAGCTCAATTTCAAAGGGTGAAGAAAAGCACAACACCGAAGTAAAACTGTGTGAAATGGTTGATCATTTTGTTGGAGTTGGACCCAAGTTGAACCAGACCTTTCGTTCATATGTTTCTAGTTGTAATAAAGATGGTAATGTCTTTAATTGACCTCACCCCTAAAGTATTTGAAGAGTTTGAGGCTGTAAAGCAAGTCAGTCATAGCTATAGACAACAACGCAGAGTCTTGGTGTTTTGGAGATGCAGAAGATTTTGAATTAAAGGGATTTGACACCGCTGTGAAAGCAATTGCTGCGTTAGAAGATACTCGTCGTACGTTTGCTGGGGCACCGGATGGAAACACGAAGAAATGTGTGGTGTACCTGCAAGTCGATTAAAAGTAAAAGGATTTTTTCAAGACTGAGAGGGTTTAAAGCGCTTATTCCAACAAGTGGATCTTGCGGTCATGCCTTCAAGAACAGAGGGCTTCGGTTTAACAGGACTCGAGGAAATGTCAGCTGATCTCCCTGTGCTCGTCAGTCGCAACTCTGATTTTGGAGAACCACTGTGTAGTGTACCTTTGGTTCAGCATTTGTGATTGAGTCAGAGGACCCCGCAACCTTAGCTATCCAGAATATCTGGTCCAAGGACAGGGAATGTCGACTTGAGGAAGCGGTGACCTTGCGTGATTCCGGCCTATGCCAGGAAATACAAGTGGGCCAAACAGAATAAGGAGCTAGTTGACAGGATGATGAACCTGGCTCATGCTAGGAATGTCGATTATCTTTACTTCAATGGTACATTATCAGGAAATGATCGAAAAACAAAACAAACAAAAATGCGATCCCTTACAAGTTTTGTCTTTAAATCTTGAAAAAATGCTCGCGAATACCTAGATGTTTGCTGATATCAGGAAAACTGTAACGTTTTAAATTTTTTTACGTATGTTGTTTTCAGCGGAATGGTAGACGATAGACGACGTATGATAGCATGCGTGGCAGTCATTTCTGTCTGCTTTTAACCAAGCGGGAGATGCGCGGGGGGCGCGCGAGAGTGAGCAAAAATTAGAGACGGGGAAGGACTTACCGTGGCTCGATACAGTTTTTCAGAGTCAATACCTCCCAAGTTTGAGCATAAACTACGTCGCCATAAACAAAGTTTTGAAAAAATTGCCACCACAGTTGTATTAGAAAAAGATGAAAATTTGTTATGATCAGGGTTGCAACGGCATCGGAGTTGTCATAGCAACGAAATGACGCTATTACCTATTTTACTTGCAGCAGTATATCTCGGCACTGGGAACTGTTCTTCGAAAATCGTTCACAGGCCTCGATGTTCGTGGAGTTTAAGCGAAATCTGTAAGAGCGTTTTCGAGATATTTGGGATGAAGTTTTTATGGCTAGAAACACAGTAAAAAATGGACAATAATGTTGTTTGGCCGTTATCTGTAAAAAATGAAGAGCTTTTGACGTGCAATTTCACCGCATAGTAGTTTCAATCTTTTTAAAAACGTGTGTAAAAGATCATTTACATAACTCCAACCGATTGCTAGAAAGAAGGGTTTGACTAGTATGTATCAAAGCACTCTTGTTAGCGGTTTTGAAAACATTTTAGTCTTCTTTATCAAATTAGCAAATAATTTTTAAACTGCTCGATAGATTTTCTTAAAAATTTAAGATTCTTTAGATTAACCTCTCTATTATATGACCGTATAGTTTCAAGGTTTTGACACTGTAAGGCAGTAAAATAACGGCTACAGTTCGCTACTTTTTTATCGCAAGTTTCGTCATTACAAGAGAAAGCCTCTCATTATTTAAGGCATTGTCTCCAAGTTTCATTCTCACGTGAACAGCAGTAACTAACAATGCATTTTACATATGCAAAAATGCTAGCTGTTGTTGTGCACGAAAATATGAAACTTGGAGACAATACCCTGAATAATGACAGGCTCACACTTGTAAACACAAAATTTCAGGCAAATTATTAGTGCATTGTAGCCCTTATTTTACTGCCTTACACTACATCAATAATCTTGAAACTAAAAGGTCATATAAAAGGAAGGTTAATAATAAGAATCTTAAATTTTAAAAAAAATTTATCGAGCGGTTTAAAAACTATTTGCCAGTTTGTTAGAGTAAACCAAAATATTCAAAAACCGCTAACAAGAGCGCCTGGATACATACTAATCAAATCTTTCTTTCTAGCAATCGGCTGGAGCTATCTCCATGATCTTTTACACACGTTTTTAAAAAGATTGAAACTACTATGAGGTGAAATTGCATGTCAAAAGCGCTTCGTTTTATACAGATAACAGCCGAACATAGAGATTGTCCTTTTTTTACCATTTTTCTAACCACAAAATCTTTATCCCAAAATATCTCGATAACGCTCTTACAGATTTCGCTTAAACTTCATGAACGTCAAGGCGGCTATTGGAGGAAAAAGCTTCCAGGAATGATTGTGGAAGAACAGTTCCCGATGCCGATATATACTGCTGTAAGTAAAATAGGTAATAGCGTCATTTCGTTGCTATGACAACTCCGATGTCACTGCAACCCTGATCACAACAAATTTTCATCTTAATCTAGTACAACTGTGCTGGCAATTTTTATGGTGACGTAGTTTATGCTCAAACTTGGGAGGTATTGGCCCTGGAAAACTGTATCCAGCCACCTTAAAAAGCCGGCCGCTGAGCTTTTATTCCGGGAATACACAACCCGATATATCGTGCATAACAAATGTCCGCGCCGGGAAGGAATGGGCCGGTGGGGCCGCGCACCTGGAATTGACTGGGTCTTAAGTTTCAAAGAAATTATTGTTGATTATATGAATCTACTAGTTTGAATTTAAAAAAATTATTATCGTAACCAAAGTTTGTTTACGTAGAGCCTGTTATGGAAAATAACAACAACCCAAGAACAAACTCTTATGACGACCAGCAGCTTGTTTCAGAAACGTCCCTTGGTAGAAAATGTGAAAAGAAAGTTGATGCTGCACTAGGAAACCAAACTGAACCATCCAAAGTTAAAGTGTGTCAGTCACAAAATAGCCGTAAGCGTAAAATATCAGAATCTTCTTGTGATCCAGGTAAGCAAAAACACGATTTGTTTTTCTTGCTATTGCCCATGAGTACATCCAGGGGTGGTTGGGGTGGTGGTGGTGGGGGGTGTGATCGTTAGAACAGTCAAAGGTGGACTTGCTACCTTGCTACCAGTGCAATTCTTCAGTGCTAACTCATTGTAATTGTGTAATCAGATTTTAAAACTAGATGTTACCTTAGGCTAGCGAAAAACTGTAAATGTGGGGACCGGCTTATACTCACACAAACGACGAAGACAGAAAATAATTTTCTAGCGATATTTCTGGTCTCCTCAATGAAGATTTATCTTTTATCAATGACATTTTCTTTCTTTTCAGACTACCAGGTATTACAAGGTTATCAAGGCCTTGGTTTAGTCCCTGAGTATCTGAGAATCTTTCCAGACGTTATTATTCGCATTTTTCTCATTAGCATACGAGTTAACCCATGAAAGGCGTCGCTGTGTATACAAATAAAGTTGACATGTTCAGAAAGCTCGTAAACTTGAGAAATTGTGCAGTTTTTAAGTTTCAAGTTTCTTTGTTTCCGTGTCATCGACAAGACAATTTTATTTGATAGAAATTTGAAAAATGCGGTGGTGTGTGAACCAAAATCCATGAGTTGAAGAGAGTTCACACACATACCTATTTATAGCGGAGCTCCACGCGCTCGAGGGGAGCCCCATAGCTATGTAAATCTACCCATCCTAGAAAATTTGGTAATCACGTGACCGTACAGCGCCCGCCCGTCCGTCCGCACCACAGGGCAACCAATGTTCAATCTCACACTTTCTAGCTAGTTTGGGATCACAGGAAAACTGATATTGCGCACATTTTGCACGTCAATTTTGTGATCAATACACAGCTGTCAAAACAGGGTATCCGCTGACCAGTACCACCTCACCGTATCATGGGCTCAGGTGTCGACCTATCGAGGTTGAATATTTTTTGAAGTTATCCGCTGACAAGTTACTAGTTTTCAAATGATCGCAGGCTCAAGTTTATTTTTTAAATTCATATGAAATATGTGGTGTTTATGTGCCGAAAAATTAAAATTTTGATTTCAAACTGACCTCTGACCTCTTTTTCTACTGGATGTACAAAATGAAATTCAGCTGTTATCAAGAGTCTTCTGTTATTCATGGCTAGTTTGTTTATTGGGTTTTGGTTGAGAAATACGTTGCTTGTCAAAGTCGGAAATCCGATTCCGGTTGGCATCGTTTTCGTTTTACACCTTGCTTGATGCGTAATAGGGTTGAAAAGTGTGAAGCGATTCTGGCCTTACTTGATAGCTTCCAGGAGCTGCGTCTTGAATGGTAAGCCTGAGAAATTATTGTATTTGAGATTTGTTTTTTATATCTAATTTAATGAAGTCGAGCGTTGTTTTTGCGGTTATTTAGTTTATGGACGTGTGTAAGATTTGAGACAATGATCTGACCGAGTGTCAGGTTTGACATAAGCTTACAGAACTTAAAGAAGCCTTTAAACATTTTCTCACTGCAAATAGGAAGAAAACGTTCCAAAGAATATCTAAGTTATAATTCTGGCTGTAAAAGAAAGCTTTGAGCGATTTTCTTGACGCGAGTTCATCTTTGAAAAAGGCAAACACGGGAAGCCGGCTTAAAAAATAAACTTAAGCTTTAAGCTTGAAGACTCAGGATTTTTAGGGACACTTTTATACTTGTCTTCGTTGATGAAAGTTGTTGTCTCTGTATTTGTTTCACCGAATTATATTTCTTTTATTGATTGTCAGTAGACTTTCTTGCAATTTTAATCGCTGTGCCGTTTGTTTTCAGTCGTTCATGAGCATCGCCTGCAAGAGTACTCAAAATGCCGCGCGTATCAAACGCGTTTGAAGATTACACATCGTTATAAAACCACTAAATAAAAAATAAACATGATAAATTCTTTATTATGTTGAAGCGTAACTCTATTAATGTTCATTCAAACACTCCACAGCTCGCAACCGGCTGGTCGTATAGGTGATTTTGGAAATTTTTTTAGCGGTTTCGCTAAAAGCCTTAATATTGAATGAGTGCAATTTGTATTTCAAAATTGTGAAATACTGCGTTCTGTGCGAGGTCTGCATGATAAAAACAGCGCCTCATAGTATTGTTTCATCTCAGATGTGATCTATAAAAGTATAAAAGGTTGGTTTAGACGCCCCCAGATTTGTTAGCAAGATTCGGTAAAGAAAACTTGTCGAACGCAAAAGAATTCGGCCTGATTTGTTTTCCAAGAATTTGTTTTCCAGGCCTAATCTACTGTGATCAAGAGCCACTATGGCTCTTAAATGTGATCGAAGATGATTGCTGTTTTTGGGTGTACATATAAGGCTATCAATTCGATGATCAATTCAGTCTTGGACTGTTTCCAAATTACTTTTCTCTAAAATCACTTAGCCTTTCCCTCAAAAGTCACATGAATGTGCTCTAAAGTTAACTGATTTGTGGAATACAAGTTTATTGTTTGATTTAAATTACAAAAGTTATTAATAGGAGCTTCGCTTTTAGCCCTGGCTAAATCTATAAATTAACATTACATAACATATAACATTAATTTGTGTAAGTAGCTATATATATAAAAAAAATACTAAGTTATTGTGCATAATGAATATTTTCTAATAGTTTAGCGTGTAACTTTCCTCTTCTTGATTTTCAGACTCTGTTGTTACTTCTGCCTTGATCAAAGTTCTAATTTCTTTGAATACCAAAGATTTAACTGTTGAACAACAAAGAATATTAACTGAGGAATTAGAACAGTCGGTTCATAAGTATCGAAGATACCAAGATCTTTCGTCATTGCCATTTGATAGTAGTGTAGCCCGCCTTACTGAGTATATCGAAAAGGCTTATGAAGTGGCCGTAATGATGGTAAAAACAGGATCTTTGATAATAACTTTGCAGTGCCTCACTCTGGAGAGTCTTGAACGTCTGTGGAATGATTACTGTTCTGGTGTCTTTAATGACGTTGTTAAGCGTTTCCTGGTGACTGATGAACTCAAGAGAAAGCTAGGGTTGGACAATGTCAGGTTGAAGACAACTATAGAAGAAGAAAACTACTTAATTTGTAAGAAAGCGTTCATGGAGAACTCAGGTTAGTTAGGAATTCTCGATAGAGCCTTTTGTGGGGAACCTGTATTTTGGCTTGATATGCCAAAAAAGATGGATAGCAAGTGGGTGAAATTGTTTGCAAGAACTTTTTTTACTCGCGAGGTTCAGTGATCAGCTAAATCAGTAGACTACGAGTAGTCCCCCATTTTTCCTCAGGGATAGTAGAGTGAGCGAAACGCGAGCGCGCGTGAAAATCACCCCACGTGGGAAAGGGCGACACGCGGCGGGGAGAGAGAGAGAAAAAAAAAATTCTCTCTCTCCACCGCGTGTCGCCTTTTCTCGCGTGGGGTGATTTTCACTCGCGCTCGCGTTTCGCTCGCTCTACTATCCCTGAGGAAAAATGGGTGACTACTCGTAGTCTACTAAGTCACCGCCTTGGCTTTTTACAATGACAGTTTTGTAGGTGCTGAGAGTTTTTCTACACGTGTAATTTACAAGTGTAGCTATTGTTCTCAGTCTCTAAAACAATTGCTACAGTTGTAAATTACACTTGTAAAAGTCTTGTTAAACTGACCCCAGGTCAATGGAATGTCATGTACCACTTTACTAGTAAAGAAAGGGGGCATTCAGAGACTAATGGAGGTCAACAACAATCAGTACACTTCCCTAGGTTGAAGGATTAGGATTGCTGTGGAGGGTGCTTCTTCTCAAAGTACTCGTCACTCATGGTCTAGTTCCTGTTTCATCTGACTGAGCTGCACAGCTTATGTGGCGTGCAAAACGGCCTTTCTTCCCACAGCTACAGCACTTAGAAAGTAGAACTCTGAATATAAAGAACGACTAGAAGGAGCCGTATTGTTATTTATACCTGAGACAAATTGGAAGTGCTATCTGTTTGAGGCGGACATCATGTATTAAACGATCAATAAAGCATTCCCCGTGGGTGCCCGCTTGAGTTTTA